CTAGGACTTCAGTCAATTGTATATTGTGAGTATGTTGAGCCTTTTCAAAAGCCGTAGTGAATATAATGAAGGTCTTCTAAAACTTTTAAAGAGATCTTCTGAAATAGGTCAACCAGAATAGTGAATTAACTAACAAGTTTTATTTTATTTATCACATTTATATAGCTGCTCCTTTTAAGAAATCTAAACAGTTGATAATTCTAGATAAAGCTTTTTTTTTTTTTTAAAGCCACAAAACAGACCAGTTTAAGAATAAGTGAAATATACACACTGCTGCATTCCGGACCAACTGCAGGTCCTGAATGCTTGCCAAAAGCAGCCTTATATCTAGATTGCATTGTAGTCCAGTTGAGTAATAAATAATTCATGAGTGATTGGAAGCAGAAACAGAACCTTTCAAAACAAGAATAGAGATATCAGGCGCAAAAAGGCCTTTTGACGGTGGCTTCCTTGAGCAGGAGCTATGAGTCCAAGAAGAACTTGAAATTTCATACCAAATCTATCAAGGGAAATGCTACCCGATTCAGAGTTAATGGTGGAAAATTTTTGGATCAGAGTTGGGGACTAACAACATAGCAAACTAGATTTTATTATGGTTGAGATGAAGTCTGTCCTTCCTAATTAAGGCCCTCACAGAATCCAACTCAACCTTGATGGTATCACATGGAAGGCTTGGAGCAAAGTTGTATAAATCCAGACAAATTTTGCCTGGTTTTTCAACGTTCTTTTCCTGGTGAAGGTTGTTGAGAAGACTTGTACTTTCAAAGAATGAAATGGATAATCTAAACCAGGGGTGTCAAACTGATGGCTCGTGGACTTGAGGAATCACACAGGCCACACCCACCCCAGCTCCACAAAGGCAAAAAAATGTCATGATATGTCACGTGATGTCATGTGACGATTGAGTTTGACACCCGTAATCTAAACCCTTTCTAATTGTTTCTTGGCTTATGAAAATGATGCCTGCCTGCCTGCCCTGATCTAGCTTCGATATCTCTCTCGTTAATTTTTGTAGTAGATTAAGCTTTTTGTACTCTTCCAGGATTTGAATATTCTGAATCCTGGCTTCAGATTGCCAGTTTTGTACTACCATCAGCGTGAAACTATGGTGAAGCAAATGATGTCACACATTATGTGAAATCAATAACAGTGACAATGTCCGAAAAAGTATGTCTGAAGTAATTCCAAAGTCCTTTGCCTAAAAATCTTGGCGTCATGGGCATTCTTGTCATATATCAAATTAATGAGCCAATAGAGGTTATCTTTGAGGGCTTTTCAGAATTTATTAGATGCATTTGCAGAGAAGAAACTTATAGTATGTAAAGCATGTAAAATAAATAATAGTTTTTTGCCAGATTCAAACCAGTCTAGGTTTGTACTTGTTTTCAAGATACATAAATGGACTGGTTTTTATTGGAAAAATAGAGAGGAAAATGATGAAATCTTTTCCAAATAATTCAATCCATCACAGCTACTATTGAGTCTGATATATTTCACTGAGGTAAAGTTTTAGCAAATACACATATGTCTGTCAACTAACATTCTCTTGTCTCTTCCCCCACACACCATATTGTTTAGTGAAAACAAATCGGCTGTAATTTAGTGTACATCATGATACATTGTTTTTTCTTGCCACTGTTCATGGCATTTATACCATGATCTGTTAAAGCCTCCAAAATCATGCCATAGACTGTTCTCTTAGTTGCTAGAGTATAACAATTGTAAGTTTGTGATGGATACCAGGATCTAGCCTTAAGCAAATAGTAATGCAAGAGTTCCGATCTGCTGTCTGCTGTTAGCAATAGAATTTAGTCTTATATACCACCCCATAGCACTTTACAGCACTCCCTGGGTGGTTTACAGTGTAAGCTTTATTTTTAGCATTGCCTCTAACAATCTGGGTCCTCATTTTACCAACCTCGGAAAGATGGAAGGCTGAGTCAACCTTGAGCCCAATTAAGATTGAACTCCAGACTATGGGCAGAGTTTGCCTGCAATACTGCATGTTAACCACTGCGCCACCAGAGCTGCTTGCCTATCTAGATGGTGGCAACAGGTACTCATACTTTGCTGATCTCAAAAACTCAAGAGTCAGATCTGTTTACTACTTGAATAGAAGACCACTATGAAATCCTGGATCTGTAGAATTATTTGGGAAGTTGGGGGTGTGTGGAAATTCTGTTTCTGAAACAGCTGTGGACACTGCAACTCATGCAGCTGCTTTATTGACTTTTTAAAAAGGTGCTCTATAAGCATTTCTATCGAAAACATTGCTAAATATTTGCATCTTCATCTTGGAAACCTGAGAAGTCACTGTGTTTTTGCCATGACTATTTTGACAAAAGTTGGAGTTTAAGTTGGAGTATTTAACTCAAATTTTTGAAGAGCCAGATCAAAGGTACCATGTACAGATAACAAAAAGAGATTATGTCTGGAAACTGATTTAAGAATATCAAACATAGAGAAGCATAAAATTATCCAGCTAATTTGATGCTAATGAACTGAAAAACCCAAAAGGCTTCTAGCTTTCATAATTATCATGCAATTGAAAATTAACCTTATCTATAAAGGCCTTGTTTCTACATGTCAAAGAACTATGTGTACCTGATCTTCTTGCTCATTTTCCAAATCTCTTTTGGGCATCAGCAACTTCTGCTATTCTAAGTGTTTCAGCTGAACTACAACTCCCAGCATTATTTCCCATTGGCAATGCTTCCTAAAATGTTTGGAGTTGCAGATCAGCAGTAGCAGAAAGACTATACTGTTGTTTATTCCTGTCAAATTCTTTCACCATTTCGGTGTTCAGAAGAACACTTTGATTCTGTGAAATGCTTGGTTAAATTATAGTAGTTTTAGTTCCCCCAAACAATCAATTTGTGTCCTAAATTTACGTCCCATGAAATAGTTCTGTTTTTAATTGTGTATCTTGCAAATGAAGTGTTGAACTTTCTTTGAATTCTGTACAATTTGTAAACCATTTAACTGTGACATCTTTGTTCCAAACTTGGGACATTGCACAAATGTTCTGACAAGGCAGAAAACAAAAGAGAATTCTGATTGCATTTACTGAAAACCTTTCCTTAAAGTCCTTGAGCTCCCCCCCCCCCCAGAAAATCCAAGTTGCAGGTGGTGTTTGGAACATATTTATGAATTTCAGAATATAACCTTGACAGTAAAACACTGCTTGTTTTGTGTGGTCATATTCTTTTTAAATCTTATAGTGGCACAACTCCTTTATTTCATTACAATTATT